GGTTGTTATGAAGGGGGGGGGGGGTGGGGGGGTTGAGTCTCTGTGGAGGACTAACCAGGATGTAGTGCTCTGTAGGCGTCTCTCCTCTGAGAGGTGTAGCTGTTACTCTGTACACCTGAGACTTATGAACAATCTGTTTCACTTTAAAGTAGAGCTGCTGAACAATCCAAATATTTTTAAAAGTTAATGGCTACTGTGTTGCCGTCTTGTTGGTGTTGCTGTGTTGTTGGTATTGCCAGTATTGCTGGTTAGAGTCCAGTTCTGAGTGTGTGAAGACTGAGTTAAATCTGCAGATTACAGCACATCAAAGCAGAGTGTGTGTGTGTGTGTGTGTGTGTGTGTGTGTGTGTGTGTGTGTGTGTGTGTGTGTGTGTGTGTGTGTGTGTGTGTGTGTGTGTGTGTGTGTAGATTAGAGGTGATTAAACAGTAATCTGAACGTGGTCTCAGACTAAATCCTTCAGATTAGTCAAATGGACGTTTCAGTTAAATAATCTTCATCACACTGAGGATGATGAAGATGATGATGTCACTGATGCTGCCTGTGTGACTTCATTCATGTTACTGGCTATAAGGGGCGGAGCCTCAGATTGACACACATTGAGAGTGTGACCCTGAGTGCTGACTGTCAGGAGTCAACCCTGAAACAGCTGACACAAAGAAACACTCCTCAAACACACAAGTGAGCAAACAAGTCATCCAATCAGTCATCCAACCAAGTCATCCAACCAAGTCATCCAACCAAGTCATCCAACCAATTCATCCAACCAGTCATCCAACCAAGTCATCCAACCAATTCACCCAACCAAGTCATCCAAACAAGTCATCCAATCAGTCATCCAACCAAGTCATCCAAGCAATTCACCCAACCAAGTCATCCAACCAGTCATCCAACCAAGTCATCCAACCAATTCATCCAACCAAGTCATCCAACCAGTCATCCAACCAAGTCATCCAACCAATTCACCCAACCAAGTCATCCAAACAAGTCATCCAATCAGTCATCCAACCAAGTCATCCAAGCAATTCACCCAACCAAGTCATCCAAACAAGTCATCCAATCAGTCATCCAACCAAGTCATCCAAGCAATTCACCCAACCAAGTCATCCAACCAGTCATCCAACCAAGTCATCCAACCAATTCATCCAACCAAGTCATCCAACCAGTCATCCAACCAAGTCATCCAACCAATTCATCCAACCAAGTCATCCAACCAGTCATCCAACCAGTCATCCAACCAAGTCATCCAACCAATTCACCCAACCAAGTCATCCAACCAAGTCATCCAATCAGTCATCCAACCAAGTCATCCAACCAGTCATCCAACCAAGTCATCCAATCAGTCATCCAACCAAGTCATCCAACCAAGTCATCCAATCAGTCATCCAACCAAGTCATCCAATCAGTCATCCAACCAAGTCATCCAACCAAGTCATCCAATCAGTCATCCAACCAAGTCATCCAACCAAGTCAGCAAACCAATTCACCCAACCAAGTCATCCAACCAAGTCATCCAACCAAGTCATCCAACCAGTCATCCAATCAGTCATCCAACCAAGTCATCCAACCAGTCATCCAACCAATTCACCCAACCAAGTCATCCAACCAGTCATCCAATCAGTCATCCAACCAAGTCATCCAACCAGTCATCCAACCAAGTCATCCAATCAGTTTTTCCAACCACTCAAACTACCAAGTCAGCCAACGACATCCAAACACGTAAAACAGCCAAGTTACAATCAACGTCAACCAACCAAGTCAACCAATTGCATCATCCAACCAGTAAGCCAACCAGAACAAAGTCAATTGTCAAGTCATCCAACCAAATTGAACCAGTAAGCCAACAACATCAAACAAACAAGTCATCCAACAATGTCGACCAACCAAGTCAACCAATTGCATCATCCAACTAGTAAGCCAACCAATCAGTTCTTCCAACCAATCAAACAACCAAGTCAGCCAACTTAGACATCCAACCAAATCGAACCAAACTAGCCAACCAAGTCGGTAACCCACATCAACCAATAGTACAACTACAAACCAAGTCTTCCAACCAACAAAGATTGATTCAGTGAAAGATGAAAATGTTTTATGTTTAAAGAGTAAATTACTAAAAAAAAGTTTGTTGTGATCTCCCAATCACAACAATTCAAACGATCTTTGGGGATTTTGCACGGCCTTGTGATTTTTGTTCAATCAAGTTCTATAAACCTGAAGGACATGAACTTTTGGTTTTCAACATTTATCAGTTATAAAGTTATTTATTTTCAGATGTATTATTATATCAGAGTCTTTAAGGAACAGATTTGTCATTCATTATTTCTCTGTGCATCTTCAAGCTGATTTTGTTACGATTGTTGTTGATATTTAGCCTTTTCTAGTACGGATAATTAGATCACTGAAAACACTTTACACAACATGCTCCTGCGACATCAGAAGAAAAACAAAGCTTCAAAACATCACAACTGGTTTTAAAAGCTGCCGCAAAATCAGGCATTTTAGTCAACTACCAACATGCAAAAATGTGACCGCTGAAGATAATCACGATATATCATTCTGTAGCAACAAAGTTTACAACTCGATCAACTTAGCCGAGAGAAAGAGTTTTAGCAACCCCCCAATAAACTTGATCAGTGAGTTGTTTGGTGTAAAGCAGGGGATCGTCACTGAGCATGTGCAGACTGTCACTTCTCTGTCACCTGGTCTGATTAGTGCAATTTAAGACGCAACACCTGAACCCGGTCTCCCCTACTCAACTTTACTAAAAGGACCTCACTACACAACTTTACCGCTGTGCAACACACACAATCAGTGTTACAAATTATTAGTCAGAAATTAGGTTTTTAGAAGCACCTGCCTGTGTGTGTGTGTGTGTAAATGTGGGTGGGGGGTATTGTCTACTGGATGTTTGTTTACTCAGAGGATCACATGATTCTGACTTCCCTTCAGGAACGTCAGTAAAGGTGACTTCTAAACTCTTCTGTCACAGAAACATAGCGCTCTCTGTGTGTGTGTGTGTGTGTGTGTGTGTGTGTGTGTGTGTGTGTGTGTGTGTGTGTGTGTGTGTGTGTGTGTGTGTGTGTGTGTGTGTGTGTGTGTGTGTGTGTGTGTGTGTGTGTGTGTGTGTGTGTGTTGGAATGTCAGCTATTCAGTATGCGGCTGCGGGCTGAGCCGTGCCGTGCCAGGACAGGCTGGGAGCAGCCGACAGACAGTCTCTATTCAGAGTCATAAACAGTTCAATGTGAAACTAAAGACACTTTAAATCTTCTCAATCCTCCAAAACAAAACCCCGTTACGCAAACACCAGTTTTTAAACCCACCGACTGCAGCCTCCGATACGCTCAGTTTAAAGGCTTTGATTATTTAACCCGCAGAAACGACTCACAAAACTCACATTTAGTCAAAGAGTTGAAGCGGAAACAAAGACAGAGTCCTCCTGGATCCAAACAAACTATCGTGGTTTTGTCTGCACCATCATTGAGAGAATAACAGACAGAACATTTAAAATCGTCACTTTGTAAACGGAGTCTGGCGCGCTGCTGTCAGACACGCCTGACTCACACACACGCGCTTCCTTCCTGCAGCTCGGGACGACTCAGAGCCGTCAACAGGACCTTGTGATCCGGGTCAGACTCACCTGAGCTCGGCGGGGTCCAACCGGCCCGGAGAAAAACTTCCAAAAACCCGCAGAGACGAACCTGCTCGATCCGCACCGAGAGCAGCACAACAGGTCCGATAAAGACCCCGCCCCGCCCGACTCTTCTCCGCGCAGCGCCGGGAGGCTTTTTTGTCGCTCCTCAGAGCTGCTGCCGCCGGGCTCAGGTCCGGGAGACGAACCGACAACCTGCTGCAGAGGGGTCAGAGGTCACGGAGCCTTCCTGTCACTCTCAGCTGATCACTGTTTGATGATCACATGGTAGGGCCCTTAATATTAACAGCCCAGGGTAGGGCCCTACAAAGGATTATTTTAATGTTTACTAAACTGCAGATTATTCTCATTATTAGTCGTTAAGTTTTTATCAAACATTAAGGAAAATCTGTGATCACAGTTTGTCCTTAAACAAAGAGTAAAATACTGAACAAAAACTTTATTTATAAATCAACAAAAAGTAGAAAAGCTGCAAAGAAAGATGAACCAAACTCTCTTTTGATTATTAAATGTTTAGTGAATAATTTTCTGTGATTCTTTCAGTCTCAGCAGACGGCTGTTCAACATGGGTCTGGGTCTGCCTGCTGAACATTAGATTAATTCTCCTTCAAAATACTTATTTTTACTTTCTTGCTGTGCCTGACCAATCAGAGACATTCAGCCCTAGAGGAGTTGCACTCCCCGTCCTCCAAAGTCACTGGACCTTTAGAAAGCACTACCCCCCCCAGCAGGGTCTTTTTGAGGGGTAGATCTTTTTCCCCAGAACTAAATGTAGACCCTGGTATGTTTAGGTCCAAATGCACGTAGTTCTTCAAAAAGACCACAGATCCTCCAGTCGAAACAGGGCTAAAAGAGTGAACAAACTAAAAAACTTGAACTCTTATTCTGAAACATCTCATGGCCGCATTCTCTCTTTGTAACATTATTTTGAAAAGCAACAGACAAAGAGAATCATCATTTTTAACTTTTATTTTTGCAAAGTACCACAAAAAAATCATCCAGTGACATCATCAGCAACATTCTGTGACATCATCAGCAACATTCTGTGACATCATCAGCAACATTCTGTGACATCATCAGCAACATTCTGTGACATCATCAGCAACATTCTGTGACATCATCAGCATCACTTAATTAAAACGTGTTAAAACATTTTTCTGTAAAATATTATTTTTTTAATGTCAGCTGATTATCTGACTGATTGATACAAATATTTTTATTTTTTAAACTCTTTCAGTGAAGCAGCTTCAATAAAAACATTCATTAGAAAATCTAAAAAAAATAAAAATCACATGATGTCATCATGACCTCTCACAGCCTCAGTTTGATTGGTCAGATTCAGCCCGTTGTGAA